GCACTGCTGTATGTGCATGCGCACAACGGTAAGATATAAAGTGGTGAGACGCAGCACTATAAAACTATCACAAAACAGCTGTCATAGACAATATCACAGCAATTGCAACAACAAAAGGCGACCCAGCGCTTGGTGTACTCTTTCCGATGACCCCTCATAATACTGCAGCCAGTTAGAAGAACGGGACAAGTGCAGTAAAATCGCATTGCTCAGGGGCTAGTGGCCGCTGAGACCCAATTAGGAAACTCCGGTTTACTCTGCGCTTAACATAGAAGCGATGATTCAGCATTCATTAATATCAGAAGCTAGCCATGCTAGACATCATAACAACTACATCAACAAGCGACGAACCCGGCGCTATTTGAAAACAGAACAGCGGGGTACTAGAATGTATCATAGCCAACACTAGCAATAGCCCAAATTTAAGGTTTGGGGGAAACTGCAGTTTCAAGCATAATGACTGTAACCCACAGGATAATAGCAGCAATACAAGTCATACAGGGGCACTGCCGAAGATCGGTACATAGTAGGGACCGACACGCACTGTGGGAACAATCTGGCTGCCGCAATAGAGTGAGCGGCGGCTGTGTCGGTGCCGTCATCTTCATGACGTCAGACCCTAGCGGACCTAGTGAAACCCCACAGCTAGGGCTGGACGATATGGCCAAAATTGATATCACGATATATTTCTTAATTTCGGTCGATACGATATAATTCCGATATCGATAGGACCACTATTTATCTGAAATATAAATCTTTTGTAACATTATAAATGCCTTTATCATCACTTTTGATCAATTTTAAGCATCCTTGCTAAATAAAAGTATTAATTTCTTTCCCAAAAAAATAAAAATTATACTGAATGGAATAGTGTATAATGTTACAAAAGCTTTTTATTTCAGATAAATGCTGATCTTTGGATCTTTCTATTCATCAAAGAATCCTGGAAAAAAAAATGTACTCAACTGTTTTAAATATTGATAATCAGCATATTAGAATGATTTCTGAAGGATCATGTGACACTGAAGACTGGAGTAATGATGCTGAAAATTTACCTATGTATGATCACAGGAATAAATTACATTTTAAAATCTATTCAAATAGAAAGCAATTTTAAATAGTAAAAATATTTTTGAAAATACTTAAAAAAAAATACAAAAAAAAAATACAAAAAAAATGTTTTTGCTGTACTTTGGATCAAATAAATGCAGCCTTGGTGAGCAGAAGATAATTCTTAAAAAAAAAAAAAAAACTTCTAAGGAAAGGGAATAAGCCCAGAAAAAGGGAGGCTCAGTGCAAAAGCAGTGACATGAATCATATAGCAGCGACTTAATTAAAGAAGTAAAACTGGCCTTCCTTGAGTGGGTAGTCTTGATCCAAAAGGACCGGGGAAGCCTTTAAGGAACCTGGCAGTTTTGTTCTGTGAAGCCCATCCAGCCGCTGAACATATATCCTCAATAGATGTCCCATTGGACCGTGCCCATGACGAGGCATGCCTCTCGTATAGTGGACATGCACACCAGTCGGGCACAGGGCAGGGAGGCTGCGGGAGGGGGCTGAGAGAAATATCACCTGGGCTCTGAACGGCATTGAGAGCACCTTGGATATATAACCCTTTCTCGGTTTAAGTACAATTTTCAGTCATAGGTTGAAATCCGTTGAGGACTTGTTGACAGAGAGATTGTGCATATCATCCACTCACTTAAAGGGTTAGTTCACCCAAAAATGAATATTAGCCCATAAATTACTCACCCTCAAGTCATCCTAGGTGTATATGACTTTCTTCTTTCAGATGAATCCAGTCGCAGTTATATAAAAAATTGTCCTGGCTATTCCAAGCTCTATCATTGCAGTCAGCGGGTGTTGCAGTTGAACAGTC